AAATTAGACTCCACTCTCTCACCCTGCACAAAACTCAAATAAAAGTGGATTGAAGTCTTCGAAATTAAATCAGAAACTTTACAACTGCAAGAATAAAACATAGGGTCAACACTCCATCATATAGGTGCTGGCACTGATTTTCTTAACAAGACCATCAAAGTGTAAGAAATAAAATTGAGAATCAATAAGTGGGATGCCATCAAACTAAAAAGCTTCTGCACCGGCAAAGAAAGTGATTAAGAGTGTTTAGAGAGAGCCTACAGAATGAGACAAAATCTTGGCTAGCTACTACTCCAATAGGAGATTAACATCCAGAATATACAAAGAACTCAATTAAAAAAGATCAATAAATGGGCAAAAGAACTAAACAGAAACTTCTCAAAAGAACACAAATAGCCACAAATATATGAAGAAATTTTCAGTATCTCTAGCAATCAGGAAAATACAAATCAAAGTTATACTAAGATTTCATCTCATTCCGTCAGAATGGCAATGATCAAGAATATATGCTGGCTAGGTTTTGGGAAAAGTTACATTTGTACATTGTCAGTGGGAAAGGCTTGTACAATCTCTCTAGAAAGCAGCATAAAGATTCCTCAAAGAACTAGAGATGAAATCACCATATGACCTAGCTATCCTACTCTCTGGTATTTTCCTAAAAGATCTAAAACTAGCATACTACAGCAACACAGCCATGTCAATGTTTATAGCAGCATAGTTCACAATAACTAAATTATGAAATCAATCCAGATGCATATCAATAGATGAATATAATAAAAAACTATGGTCCACATATACAACAGAATTCTACTCAGCCATAAAAAAAGAATGAAATTATGGTATTTTCTAGTAGATCGATGAAAATAGAAAATATAATGCTAAGGGAAATAAGCCAAACTCAGAAATGCAAAGGTTAAATGTTTTCTCTTATATGCAGAATCTAATGCTAAAAAAAGGAAAGGGGAAGGGAAGGATAGAATAATATAAAGAACCAACCAAATATAACTTATTAGACAAGTGAAAGGAACTCAAATAGAATCGAAGAAGAAAAATAAGAGAGGGGAGGGAGGATGAGAGGAAAAAGTAGGGGATAATGGACTGAAATCCATTTCCATGCATTTATGAGTTGGGATAAACCCAACTACTAAGTATCACTATAAAGTTCAAATTAATAAATCTGAAAAAATTGTAAAATTATGCTGAAAGAACTGCATCGGGGGGGGGGGAGAGAGACAGACTGACTTGAAATTTATCTTACTCTGCTCACAAAAATTAATCAAAATAGATAATGTGACAGTAATTTATCTTACCATAACTATTTCACTATATATGTATCTCATAGTATGTTGTATATCTTAAATATATACAATGAAATTCATTAAGAATAAAAACATTAAAAATCAGAATACATAATAGACATAATCATAAAAGCTAAAACTATACAGCTTTTTAGGAAAAAGCCTAAAAGGAAATCACTACAACCCTGGGGCAAGGAAAGATTTTTTTAGAGAGGTCATGGAAAGAATTAACTTAAAAAATAATAGATTATATTTTATCAAAATTAAAACCTGCTCATCATGAGATTTTTTTTCAGCTACCCCTAGCCTGATCAAGAGATATAAAAAAATAATATATTGATAAGCCAGAGAGTTAGAGAAAATATTTGTAATATATGTATGTACTGGCAAAGAGTTTATATGCAAAATATATAAAAGTAAGCTTCAACAACATGATCTTTAAAGAGACAATTTTACAGTGGGCAAAAGCTTGGATTAAACATTAAACAAAAGATATATAAATGACCAAAATTAACCACATAAACAAATACTCAATATTATTTGTCTTCAGGACAACATTAAAAAGATTGCCAGTCAAGCCTGGTGTTGTGGCACATGCTGGTGATTCCATGATGCAGAAAGCTGAAGTAGGAGGATCAAGAGTTTGAGACTTGTCTCAGTAACCTCTCTCAAAATAAAATGGGTTAGGAATGTTACTTAATGGAAGAGCATCCCTGGATTGTTCCATCTCCAGTCCTAAATATGGCGAAAAAAAATTACGAGCATCAGGTGTTATGAAGAATGTGGAGCAACAGGGATTCTTACACACAGCTTGTGAGAATGAAAGATGGTATAATTCTTTGGAAAAGTATTTCATAGTTTATTAAGAATACATCTACCCAATGACCCAATAATTTCTAAGTATTTGTACAAGAGAAATTAAAAGCTATCTACCAAAAGACTCATACAAAAACACGCATAGTAGCTTTATACATAATAGCCTCAAACTGAAAGCAACACAGACATCCAGCAAAAGGAGCAACAAAGTGTTATGGTATATTCATACACTGGAACACCACTGAGAAAAGAAACAAATTAATTATACACACATCAACCTAGATAAATCTCAAAAATATTGATGTTAAGTAAAAGAAATCGGATTCAAAAGAATAACTACTATTCAAATCCATTAATTTATATGGTATGCCAGAATAGAGAAAGTTAACTTGCAGTGACAGAAATCAGGTCAATTCCTGACTGAAAGCAGGTAAACCTTATTTAGAAGCACAAGGTAATCTTCAGGATTGGTGAATATGTTGTATGTGTTGATTAGGGTGTTGGTTATTCAAGTTCATAATCTTCAAATGTATAAAAAATACAGTTAAAATATATACATTTCACTGAATAATTTTCACTGAAAATATTTTTTACTGTATTTTGTTGGGATAAACCTGACTACTAAGTATCACTAAATGTATTTAAAGGAGTGATAAATCAAAATTCTTGCTTTATAAATTCAGTATTTAGAGTACTCTACATTGCAATCACACAACTTTTTAAATACAGGATGAAAATTTACATATATAATGAAAATTTTAAAATATCAACCTAAGGTGAGAGAGAAACATAGTTTTTCAATATTTTTTCTACAAGTATCCAGGTAAAATGGTTACAACCATTTGTTATACATATTATTTTATAGCCCAACCTTTTGATGTAACCATATGTAAGATTAACTTTGCCTTGAAGGATCAAGAAAAATTTCATGAAGGAATTTGTTGTAATCCATATTTGAATACAATAGGCAAAGATGAGGCAGAGTCAAGGGTGGATTGCCAAGCAAATTCCAACTAAATGTCTTAAGGCAGGAAAGCTTAGGTTCTATTTGGGGATTACCCAGTAAGTCTAGGATAGCTAAATTTAGGGTCTCTAAAGTAATACCAAGATATAAAGTAGTCTCTGGCATCATTGAAGGCATCTTTTGAATGGTAAACTCTGAGGTTTGGAGTTTATTCTAGGCAATAGGAATGTATTGAAGATTTTTGAGTAATCAATTTCCATGTCATGTTCAGGATATATCTGCAAGGCAGGATGCCATAGCAGAAACAGGAACTGAATGCTTAACTTAATTACTTAAATGTAACCTTAAAAAGTTTCTAAAGGTTTCATTTTCTTCATTCTCATATTGAAAGACTGAATATGATAAATCTCTACATTTTTAAAAGATATTCTAGGGGCTGTGGTATAGGTAGCTCAGTTGTAGAGTGTTTGCCTAGCATGCACAGTGCCTTGGTTCAAAGCCCAGCACCACCAAAAATAAAAAATTAAATATTCTGTGAATATATGAGATGGGATTGTAGCAACGAGAACAGGAAGAATGCCCCTGAAATAAAACTAGGAAGTGGTAATAAAAGTCAAAAACTGAAAAGTATCAATGGCAATGGAAAAGGGAGACTGAACATGAGAGATACTGTGAAAGTAAGAAACTAATTGAATGCAGAAATATAAAGAGCCAAAGATGCTTCTTAGAAAGGTTTTTTGGCAGGTTTTTTTTTTTTTTTTTGGAATAGACTCTCCTTAGTTATACTTGACAATAGAATATATTGTGATAAAATTATACAATTTGTATAATTTTATCACAATAAAATATATTGTGATAAAATTATACAAATATGGAATATATTTTATTCTGATTCGGACCCCATTCGGCATGATAGTGGGATTTACTTAGGTATTTTCATGTGTACACAGGAAAATCAAGTTAGATTTATTCTATTGCCTTTCATATTCCTATTTCCTTTCCTTTCTTTTATATCTCTTTGTCTAATATAAAAAAATTCTCTTCTTCCCCTCCCACCCTTTATTGTGGTTTAACTTCTACATATCAGTGAAAACATTTGACCTTTGATTATTTGGGACTGGTTTATTTCACTTAGCATGATAGTCTCCATATCCAACCATTTACTGGCAAATGTCATAAAGTCATTCTTATTTATGGCTGAGTAATATTCTATTGCGTATATGTACCACAATTTCTTTATCCATTCTTCTGTTGATGGGCATCTATGTTGATTATAAAGCTTAACCATATGTGAATTGTGCTGCTATAAAGATTGATGTGACTGTAGCATGATGATTTTAAATCCTTTGGATATATGCCAAGGAGTAGGATAACTGGGTCAAATGGTGGTTCCAGTCCTAGTTTTTTGAGGAATGTCCATACTGCTTTCTAGCATGATTTGCACCAATCCGAAGTCCCACAAACAATGTACGAGTATTCCCTTTCTGCAGAACCCAACATTTGTTGTTACCTGTATTCTTTCTGGGGAATGCCAACATTTGTTGTTACTTGTATTCTTGATAGTTTTCATTCTGACTGGAGTGAGATAAAAAATCAATGTAGTTTTATTTTGCATTTCTCTAGTTACTAGAGAAGTTAAACATTTTTCATATATTTGTTGACTATTTGTACTTCTCTTTTGAGAAAGGTCTGTTCAGTTCCTTATACATGCTTATGAAGTTTTGAATCTAAGACAACCTTCTGTTGGTTCCCTAACCTGGACTTCACTGCTACTTACATGTTTAGTATTGAAAACTGTATAAACATGTCCTCTAATAAGTAACAACCCAGCTTGGAGATTAGATTTAGAAATATGTAAAAATACCTTTTAAATTTCTTAAGTTATCTGAGTTTATCTAAACATAATCATTTTTTAAAAATACCTTTTAAAATAGGAAGTTGACGATAAGCTGCAAGTTTGGGTTGAAATATATTTTCCATTAGAACACGTTCCATGAAAAATAAATCTTGATGAAATTTATCAGATTTTAATATTGCATCTGAGTGGTCCTCTTCATCATCATGGATTTTAGACATAATTACATTTTCTATATCCATAAGAGAACTAGCTTCACTACCTGCAAAATACAAACATGATACAATAATAAAATATCTAAATAATACTAGATGGTTCACACATTCTAAAAATTCAAAAATGACATGTTGTCATATCAATTTGTTTTCCTCCAGTTTCCAACAACTTTAACAGACATTTATTAAAATGTTTTCTGAATAAATAAATGCAATATAAACATATATTGACTTGTTTGGACTTCTTAACCATAAAAAAAAAAAGCTGTTTTTCAAAAGGGAAGTAATGATAACCTCCTGAAATAATGTGTATCTGCCTTCATGTGTTTTCTGTTGTTATATCATAATGCCATAAACTGGGAAATTTATAAAGAAAATAAACTTATTTCTTACAATTCTGAATGCTGTTAAGTTCAAGTTTGAGAAGCTTCACCTATAGAGGGTATTTTTTTACTGTTTCATGACATGACAGAAGGCATCACATGGCCAGAGACAGGAAGCATGCACTCAGGTCTGCCTTCAATCTCCTATACAGCCACTAATCCTACCATTGGGGCCCCACCCTTATGATCTCATCTAACTCTAATTATCTACCAAAGGCCAAACTTCCAAATAACATTAATATGGATTTCAGGATTATGTTTCCAACAACTGAACTTGGGGTGATACATTAAAACTTCTTAACACTGAAGTAAAATTATCAGTCTTTATATAATAAAATTCTGACTTGATGATTGTTTTATGGAAACACTACACTTCTGTAGTAGTTTTTTATTACTGCTATAAAAAAATACAGTGACTTAAAACAAGGCAAATTTACTGTCTTCTAGTTCAGTAGATTAGAGGTCTGAACCAAAACCAAGGAGTTGATATAAACAATGTTCATTTTGGAAACTCAAGAGAAATATTTGTTTCCTGGACTATTTCAGCTCCTTAGAGGTTTCCCACAACCTCTCCTCCATGTTCAAACACAGAAACATTGCATATTAGACCTTCTTTTGTCAGTACATCTCTGTCCCAGACCAAGCTAAGAAAGGTCCTCCAGTTTTAAGTACTCACAAGTTTAGGTTGGGCCCAATTAGTTTAGATAAGATAATCTCCCCAGCTGAAGATCCTATTGTAATCACCTTTGAAAAAACTTTTTTTTTTTTTTTATCATGTAAGGTAATCCTCTTACCATGTAAGGTACTCTTGAGACTCCAGGGATTGGAATGCGTACAAATTTGGGGGACCATAATTCTGCCTACTACTCTGTTTAATAAACTCTTAAACAGAATGAAGGAAGCTGGGTGTGGTGGTGCTTGCCTGTAATCTCAGTGACTCAGGAGGCTAAGGCAGGAGGATTGGAAGTTCAAATCCAGCCTCAGCAACTTATCGAGGCACTAAGCAATTTAGCAAGGCCCTGTCTCTTAAAAAACAAACAAACAAACAAACAAAAAGAAAAACATAAAAAGGGCTGGCAGTTATTACTACTTCTGTGAAAACTTTACCCTATTCCACCTGCTAAATTCAACTAAAAACACTGGAAATTTTATATGTAATAAAAAATAAGGACACCCCTTGAAGGGAAGAAAGAATAGGGGAAAACAAGTAGGAGGATACTTGAGAAGCAAGGAATGATACGGTGGTGAATTCCTGGGGTATTCTTTTTGTTTCATACATTCCCAAGCCAGCAATTTGGAAACGCCATGGGGCATAGACAAAAATGCCCACAGAAGCCTATTCCCTTTATCCAAAGGACCAGAAAAGGAACATCCATGAAAGAGAGATTTTAGATGAAAATCATTTTACTCCAGCCAAACACTACAAAAACAAAACAACTTTGTCAGTATGAAAGTCTAGGCTCCCACTTCGCCTTGGTGGCTTGGAAGAGGTTTTATTTGTTTTGTAACAAAGTACCTCAATCCTCTGACCTCCTACTATGTGCAGTATCAGAGAAAGCACAATAAAGTCAGGATAATCATCTCCACCAAACATAAACAAAGTATCAGAAAAGAACAGTTGGGGAGCCTAGAATTCTACACTCATCTGGAAGTAACAAATTTTCCCTTCCCCACCCTGCTGGAGTAATCAGTGTTGGACTAATGGATAATCAGAATTTTTATCACTGCCCAGCAGTAATGAACACAACCTCCATTCTGTAGTGTCAATGGAGGCCACATGTGACTCTGTAATAAGACAATCCTATACTTGCTAGCCACAAGGTATCAATGGAACTCAGAGCATCCATTACTACTCAGCAGTGATGAGGATATCAGAGGAAACCAAGTAGGATATCTGGACTTCCATTCCCAACTTAGTAGAAATCAGGCAATGACTCATATTTTCCCCTGCTAGCATAGTGTCCAAAAAAAAAAGCCTAGTAAAATGGAAAGTTTTAAAAAGATCTGAATCCTAACACAATACATGAAATACCCAGGTATCAATTGAAAGACATTCACTATACCAAGAACCAAAAAAATCTCAACTTGAATTAAAAAACAAACAAACAAAAAAGAATAGATACTAACACTGAGAGATGGTAGATTTTATCTGTTAAAAAATCAAAATGGCATCATAAAAATGCCTCAACAGTATTTATGAACATACTTGAAGCATACAAAAATTAGGAAGTATCATCAAAGGAATAGAGCATCTTAGCAAATAAAGAGAATCAAATGGAAAATTTATAAATGAAAAAATACAATGAACAAAACCTCAAGTCAGGGACTCAACAAGTCAGGGGCTCAACAAGTCAGGGGTTCAACAACAGAATGGAGAGAAGTAGAGGGACAAAAATCAATAAACTTGAAGAAAGTATAATAGAAACAATCTAATTTTTAAAACAGAGAAAATAGTGTGAGAAAAGTGAACAGAGATTCAGGGACTTGTGGGACTGTAACAAAAGGTATAACATTATCATTGGCATTTTAGAAGAGGAGAAAGAAGGTATGATGGAAAAAGTACCTGAACAAATGATAGCTGAAAACTTTCAAAATTTGGCAAATAACAACAAAAGATTAAAGAAACTAAATGAAGCTGAAGGAGAATAAACCCAAAGAAATATACACAAGAAACATCATATTGAAACTATTGAAAATAGAAGGAAAAAATCTAGGGAGCAGTGAAAAAGGAATTATATCTTATCTATAGAGGGAAAATAATTTCAGTAGCAGTAGGGTCTTTATCAGAAACCAGAGATGCTAGAAGCAAGTAGCCCACATTCTTTTAATGTTGAATGAAAAGAGCTGTCAACCCAGAATTCTACACTCAGTGAAAATATTCTATAAAAATAAGGGAAAATTAAGATATTCTTAGACTGCAGAATACTAAGAGAATGTCTCTCCCCCCCACCAAAGAGAAAAAAAATCCCAAGAATAGCTAAAGAAATTCCCCTAAATAGGAAGAAAATGTGATAAAAAGGAATTTTGGAGCATCAGAAAGGAGAAAAAGGACAATGGGGAGAATTAAATAAAATATAACTTCCTACTTTTGAGATGTTTATGATTGAAGAAAAATTACATTGTCTGATGTAGTTCTACATCTAAATATCTAAATGTTTCAATATCTAAATATTTAGAAATATTTAAGACAAATAGGGAATTATGAAACACTGTAATGGGAGATAAGGTTTCCTGGAACTGTTAAAATGTTGGCATCAGTAGACTATGATAAGTTATTTGTATAGAGTGCAATATGTAGAGTAAATCCTCAAAAAGTTACAGAGATAAACTAAATACATACATACATATATATATATGTCTTTATGTATTAGAGTAGAATCATAAAAAATATTGAGTAAACAGCAAGAAGTTATTAAAAAGATAAAGAAGAAACAAAGAGAGTAAAAAAACCCAAACAAACAGTAGCCAATTTTCTGAGTAATATATAAATAAATGTTAAATATAAATTATATTTACAACTCAAAGGCAGAAATCAGCAAATACAGGATTAAAAACATGACTCAAATATATGATGTCTATAAGAAATTTATTTCAAATATGTAATATAGGTAAATTGAAAGTAAAAGGATGGAAAAAATAATCTATCCGGCAATCATTATCAAAAACAAAGTAGGAGAGGCTATACCATTATATGCAACAGACTTCATAGCAAAGAAAATTACCAGAAACACATAACAATATTATATAATGACTGCAACAAAAAGATATAGTGATCATAAATGTTTCTATAGAAAAAAGTAAGACTGTAAATTAGGTAAGGCAAATACCATTAGAACAGAAAGGAGAAACAAATCCAAAATTCAATAAACTAAAAAGATAGTAAATTAGCAATAAAATACACAAACCCAACAACATCATTAGCTTTAAAAAAAAATCTTAATTACTCTCTACCCAAAGCCCATAGAATACACATCCTGAACCATAAAACAAATCTTACAACATGTAAAAGAAGATAAGTCATACTAGGTTCAAAGAAGAGAGATCAAAATGTGTTTTTTAATCATAATGGAATCAAATGAGAAATCAATAGTGGTAAGATAAAAGGAAAATCTCCTAAAACTTGGGATTTAAAAAACCACCCCAGATAATCTATGGATCAAAAAAGGAAGTTGTAAGGAAAATAAAAAATAAATAAATTTAATGAAATGAAACCACAACATATCCAAATTTGTGGAACACAGACATAGCAGCGCTAAAAGGAAAATTTGTCACATTAAATGAATATATTAGAAAACAGAATAATCAATAATCTAAACTCCTTAATCAATAACAAAGTCAAAAGAAGAAGAAGAAGAGCAAAATAAACTAAAAGCAATCAAAAAGAAAGACATAGAAAATATAATATCAGAAATAAATTAATATGGAGGTGAAAAAAAATAGAGAAAGTCAAACAGAGAGGATCAATAAAATTAACAATCCTAGCAAAACTGACAAAGAACAAACTGCTAAAATCAGGAATAAAATAGGAGATGCTATACCCCCTGCCAAAATTAAAAGGAGCAGGGGAGCCCAGGCACAGCGTAGGCCTGGGTCCACCCCTGACCACCAACGCCTGGGAGCCCAGGTCTAACCCACTTCCATCTTGAGACAACTATAGCCATCCC